GAACAATGCTTTCATCTTGTTACATTTCATTTAAGAAACCTGAACATCTTGCTTAGTGTGTGTGGTCAGCAGACTCTGATATAATAAAAGCTGAGATACAACCTCATACTGTCTGGCTCTGCAGTTAGTTAGTTGTATGATCCCGAGTAAGTCACTTTTACCTCTTTGATTTGAGTTTCCCTATGTAAAATTTGGGCACCAAACTCCATAACTAAGGTCACATCTAGTTGTAAAATTGTATGCTGGTTTCAGTTACCAGTTGCCAAGCAAACTTCCTGGGGTAATTACAAGAGTGGATGATTACTTAGAAGCAGGTCAGAGTAGTAAAATACTGTGCTGACACTCTACCTTGTCCCCTGTGCATCACAAGAATATCCTTTCTGGAAGAATGCTTTTATCTGGTAAGGTGTCATTTAGTTAAAAAACAAAAACAAAAAAACCAAACCTGGACATCTTCCTCAAATCAAACATTGTATGTAGTCAGAGGATTTTGATAGAGACAGTAGGAATTGGAATAGAATCTCATGCTGCCTGTCTCTTCTTTGCTAAGCATCACAACTGAGGTAGTCTGACTGGTACCAGAAGAAGAAGAAACCACTAGTGGTGGTGACGAGGTTATTTGGTTTGGGGGAGCCGAGCAGGAGGTAGGTATATTTGTATGTGGCATTGGAGAAAAAAGGAAAGGGCTGGATGTTTAGAGTATGATTGAGATATGCACTGTGGAGGACTCTTTTACTTTTTCCCCACCTTCTCCCAAGAGACCCACATGAATCCAGCAGCATGTGGAAGAAGAATGAAAATATTTTAATTAAATTCAGTACTTTGAGAGAAGAAATGGAGAACAGAGAGGGGAGTTCTCCTACTATAATGGCAAGGACAATAACCAGTAGTGTTATGGAGGTACTACCTTTCCTGCCCTGCTTTCCTGTCCCCCTAGTGTCTGTCTAAACATTTATCTTGTTTGAACTGATGGTGTATCTCTTCTATTTCACCGTGGGCTCTTCTTACTCTTCACTTTTAACTTTCTAGTTCTTTCTAGATTTAACTTTCTAGTAAACATTTTGAGTGCTAATCTCAGGTAGAAGTTTTGCTCTTATATATAGTAGGCATGTATTTCCTAGAGTCATATATGCTTCTAGTCCTACAGTGAGATAATTAATTTTTCTCTTCAAGATTCAATAATAAATTGAATTCTTCATAAAAGACCAGAAAATCACTTGACATCATCCATACTTCCAAATGATATGAATTTTTTTCTATCCACCCTTTCTCAATTATCATTCTAGGTTTGCTGATTATGGATGCATGTTGGAAATTAGGGATGTCAGATTTTTTCCTGATGGAAGTTCAGTCGTTGATACAGTTGGCATTAGTCGCTTCAGGGTCTTAAGCCATGGTCTGAGAGATGGATATAACACTGCAAACATTGAATACCTTGAAGATAAAAAGGTAATGTACTATTTAACCTGTATAGGTGTATGTACTAAAAAAGGATTCATACACCATCTTCCTTTTATAAATGAACTGTTTTGCAAACCTTTTAAATTCTTATTGACATTAACCACTTAATTAAATACTCCATTAAATTATTTAAGCATTGGGTTGTTTTCTCTAATGTCAGTTTGTTCTGTTTACTCTAGGTGAGTAGAAGCTAGTGGAGAAGGTATTTTAAGATAAAACAGCTCACTGCCTCTATGGAATGTATATACTTACAGATTTGCAATGTGAGCTGAGTATAGTAGGACCTATATCTGTGGTATAGCTTTGTGTTTTGTTTGAAGTATTCTCAATACCTTGAATATCAGACACAGTTGTTTTTAAATATAATTACCAAAACAACTTCCAGTGTCAAATATTAAAAGACTTTTGAATCATCTGCTCCTTATAGAGTGGGGCAGCTAGGTGGCACAGTGGACAGAGCACTGGGCTTGGAATCAGGAAGACTCATCTTCCTGAGTTCAAATCTGGCCTCAGACACTTACTAGTGTCTTACTGGCCCTGGGCAAGTCACTTAACCCTGTTTGCCTAGTTTTTCATCTGTAAAATGAGCTGGAGAAGAAAATGGCAAAGCATTCCAGTATTTTTGCCAAGAAAACCCCAAATGAGGTCATGAAGAGTTGGGCATGGTTAAAACAACTGAAGGACTACCTGCCCTCCATCAATCAATGATGTATTGAGAGTTCTACATATGCTCCAAGCTTTTGAAGAAAACTGGAAATTTAATGGAATTGTTGTACTTCTCTTTTTAGTTCCGCATTGCACTTTTAAATATCTGTTAACTGGCATTTGGTGTTAGTTTCTTTGATCCACAATTGGAAATTTTCAACTGATAGAATTTAGCCATCAGAATCTTTGGTCTTGACATTGCAATTGGCTTTAGGTATACTTGATACTTATTTGTGGCTCATGCTAATAAAATCACATCCAAGGACACTTGCTTCCACAGAATACTATATAATTAGTAGTAGCAACATCTGGTCTGTTTTTGACTCAAACTTATAACTTTGGGGTTGATGAATCAGAAGTTTAGGTGGATATAAATACAGTTCAGTTTGGAAGAAGTCAGATCAGACCTTGCAGATCTCCTCTGCTGTCAGTCTTAGGTGATTGAAGACCTTCAACTTTTATCTTTTTAGATCAGCAGTTCTCAGAGGTACTTCTGTCAAAAGATAATTTTAATTAAGATTGAATTTAAATACCCATAGTCTTTAAAAAGTAGGTCTTTTCTTGCAATTAAAAAAAATACATACATATCCAGATTGATTGGGGTGGGGGAGGGGGCAATGGGGACAGGTTATTGCGTTACCAAAGGATTCTTCAATTTACAAAATTCCGTGTAATCAGAAATTGTTAGAATTGAAAGAAACCTTGTAGATAATCTACTCCAGCCTATTAATTTTATAAATCTGGAATAAAATTTAGAGGGGTTTATGGCCTAGGTCACAAGCATAATTAGTGGCAGAGCTGGTAGCTCTCTCCTGACTTTCAGGCTAGCTTCTCTTTCCACTCCAGCATTACTCCTGTAAGTGGATCCTCCTTCAGTCCTTATAAGACTTTTTTTTTGGTTTTTTTTT